TATATATATATATATACATATGTGCCTATATGCACAATACAATACATACCCCACCCCTCCTGCCTCGTAAGATGTGTTACCTGCTCAGACCATGAGCCCCAGATGGCCGAGATACAGTAGTTTCTATTGACACAAAGGCAGTGTCAGCTCAAGGCAGAAAAACCGGACCTTTCCTTCATAGCGACCCCTACGCCGCAAAACCCTGAATTCATTTCCAAAGCCTCGAATCCCTAAACCAGACAAGCTCAAGACTTTAAAAGGGAAGCCCCCTGACATCCTAAACTCCTGAACCCTAGCAGTGTTCCAAACTCGGGCTGTCCGAAATTCAACGGTATAACACTATGGAATTACAGATTCACAAATATGGAAGCTGAGCTCAATTGTGCATCATCAGATTTTGCCTGCGTATAGGCCGAACTCCTGTTCACAGACATTGAGGTTGCCATGCTCGGCTAGATGCGTGTGGCTTTCGTGTGTGGCTCCAGAACCTAACCTGAACCTGCACAAGCTGCATACACCTTTCGTGTACATTTGGTCTCAGCTTCGGGTAGCCCTAGGACCCCAAGGCCCAATATCATAAATGCTGGTCACTGTTTCAGGTACACCAGCTTGTCGCTGACCTTCTGGCCATCCTTCTCAATGGCAAGCCGTTGGGCCTGCACGGTGCAGCTTGGCGAAAGTACTGACAGCCATAGCCATATCAGACCTGTTTCACACCGTGTGGTTCCTCCCTACACTCAAATGAAGAGAAAGCCCGAGAACTCCTCAAGTCTCAACCAAGTCAGGCGTCTCAATATAGACTCAGTGCGATTGCATCGCCCACCTGAACTTCTTTGCTTTGGTTGCCCTTCTTTGTTTCTGATATCTGTTAAAGCAACCGCCCCGGACACCTCACCATGGCGCTAGCGGAGAGAACCGTCAGGTGGGTAGTTTCTTGTGAGAACTGTTTTCGGTTCTCGTCTCGACAGGTGACCGGCGCAATACTTGTGCATGGCCCCATCGACTCCAGCTGAAACTTGACTTTAACCGACCAAGTGACGCACCTGTCGGACTGCGCCAGGCGCACCATGTCTTTCTGCCTATCCTAATACGAAGCCGTCTCCAACATGGGCACGCCGCGCTATGTTTTGTCCCACCTCCTTCGCTCCACGGATCTTGTCCGAGCTCTGGAACAGCAAAGTGACGGCCTGCCACGCTGTGATCACCGGGACAAGCTGGAAACCACCCACAGATGAGCTTCGGACGAGCCGTGTGGGCGGCACCATAGCGAGTAACTCCGGATCGGTACCTGAATCCGAATTGGGATTTGTGGCTGCGGATGTTAGAGCCATATTAGTTCTAATATGTTATAGGCCCTACACAAGACGCTGTGCAGCACGGGCTGGAACTTTGAACGTCGACAGGAGTCCAAATTCAAGAGCGGTCTCATCAAGCGGAAAGTTCAGGCTTCGGGCTTTGAGGGCAGGATTGCATGCACAGCACACCTTGAGGCATGTCGAGTAGACCACAAACTTGCGGAGCAGACTTCGTTCCTTTCCTGGGGTCCCAGATTTGTAACCGAAGCCGCGAAAACGGAGGTCCAGAGGAGTTTTAAAAGAACAGCTATGCACGGCTTCAGACTAAAACCCTCGATCCCTCAGCCTTCAAGAGACACCCTGAAGACCTGGAGAGTGTGTTTTTTTGGGGATACAGCCAGAACTCAGCATGTCTACCTTCAGGGTTCAGTGTTTAGGGGTGCATCAACATGCAGTTCACTACGACAGGGTCTCCTCCGGATGCTGCAGATTATTAGGACGCTTGATGTTGATGTCAATGTCTCTACAGGATTGAAGGTCAGCGCTTCTCAAAGTGCAGAAAACGCAGGTGCGTGGGTGGGATTTGGTTACTGAGTGGAGGCAATATCCAAGTTCAAGTTACAGGGTTTAATAGGCTGCAGGAGCTCTTCGACACAAGCCAAGCCATGAACAACATCGCAGATTTTTCAGTCAAGCGCATGGCAATCCGAGTGCCTCACCGTCTGGGCATGCAAGCTCAGGGCTCAGGGCTGAGT